CTAATACGACTCTACTCGCCTCGCCGCATGCATCATCAACCTCATACTTGAGGTGCAACTCAAACAGTGATTAGAGACGAACAACAAATAGCTATAACACTTACTAGAACTGCATCCATGAGGTCGATCGCTCTGATACGGTCAACGGGAAAGTTCGGTAAGGGTAAATCGGCAGCTACATTACCGCTTGACTTGCTGTCACTGAAATCGCTTCTCACCACATCCGTTTCAAAGTTAGACAAAGGATGTACGCTGGTCAGTGGAAATTCAACACTTTTTACGACGTCTTCGACCAGCTTTCTAACTATGCCTTTCACCACCATGTAATCGCTATCTTTCAGATCGTAAAGCGCGGGAGGTAACAGTGTGGCACTGGCGCCTTTATAATAGCACGGAACAATGAGTCGCAGTGCTCCGAAGCAGATGTTCTTCACCAAAAGCTATAAAACATGCTTTCAGTACTGCATATGCTGAAGTACCTACATGCGGCAGTCAGTTTACCATTACAGCTTCAGTGATGTAGCCTGAAATAGCATCATCTACATAATCAACGCCATTCATCCATGAACGTAAAAGCGTCATGCCGTACATCAGTCCGTTGTCAGACAACATCGAGTGGCCAATACTCAGCGAATCGTTCAGATCTTTGGCAAAACCTCCGCGAGACCCACCAGCGACATCAACTGATGCAAATGAATGGTCCCAGTAACTTCCTGTAGATTCATTCTAAAATAAACGGCAAATTCTCCAAACAAATAATTTCACGGCCTCAAAGAAACTGGCACATTGATGTAGGTGTAATTTCAGTGACACATAAGAATTACGCCGCCGTAGTCGATTCCACACTTTCTATGAAATACGAAAGGAGTTTGATAGTTTAATGACATTAACCCAGACAGAAATAGCCAACGTCAAATACGGGCTGAAAGTTCGATCGATATGTAAAGTCCTTACTTAACGATATGCTCCGGTCGATTTGGACATGATGGGTAATATTATCAAGGGTGTGTCACAAAGTGCTGCTATGTTGGATCGATGATTACCCATGATGGAAGATGTAAAACAGATGTTCAAGGAGGTTCGAACTCCCTGTACCACGAAGCAGCAAGATCATGCTGTTATCAGTAAGTCAGTGAAATTCCGCGTACAGCTGTCAGTTATTTTTTCTAATACTCGAGTATGCCATAGCAACATGGACCCTGAAGGAAGAAGGAAGAAAATTCGCTAGATCTATTTGGACGTTGCTGTTGGTACAGAATACTCAGGTACAAACTAACTGACAAGATCACAATTGTGGAACAACTTGAGGATGCCAGAGAAAGCAACACATAGAATATATGACATACAGATCAGTATCAACTATCCTCCTCAGGGAAACAAAGAAACCAACGCTCTAAAATGCAGAAGACTCCTGAAATCAAAACTGTGGCTTTTCTGCTATGCGCTACGACGGAAGAGAACAGGTTGATCAAAATCATGATTCGTAGTGCATCGAACCCGCGCTGAAAAAGGCCGAGAAGCAAGCAGAAAAATTCATGATCGGATATTATCAGGAATGAACTGACTGGTACGCAGCTGCGCCGCCACACTCATCGACACATTGCAAGCAAAGCCTCTCACAAAGACTGTCCAGCAATCATAACGGAAATTAAACGAGAAGAACGCAACGACAAATGGTGAGAAAAAGTGCGGGGATGTCGCACACTTTGAGGCATCCAAGAGATCAAGTCAACTCAGTCTGGATGAATCCGAAGAAGTGACGGCAGTCTGTTATTTCTTTAAGCGACAGCATCAAAAACTACTAGCTTGCTGCTAAACCCATAATACCAGAGATTATTTTTGGTATTTATTCCTACTTCCCAGAGGTATATCCGTGCTATTTGGAGCCAATGCATTGCAGGTACTATGTTAATGAAATGCTTGGAAAATAACCTTTTCGCTTACTGCGGTACAACCAACGCAATGACGATGTAACGACTATCATCCGTCTTATACTTATACTCACCGCAGTATCGGTGTATAGTAAGTAAGTTTACTACAGTTTTCGCCATATAAATTCGGTATCCTCGGTTAAAGAATTTTACTTTTATAAGTATTCTGAAATACCGTCAGCTATGTCTTGGCAATATAAGGAGCAACGTGCTCAGTAAAGATAAATTATCGAGAGGGCAAAGTACGACTTCAAAAATCAGCTTTCAACCATCGTCAAGCGGTAATTTTCGAGCATACGTGGTTAATTATGAGAATCAACCACACGTGTGACCCCCAGAAGTGCTGTTGCCCAATCCGGGGTTGCTCAGTGAATAGAGAGTCGGTGGAAAGTTAAAACAAGGTCCAGAGTTCCAAATCTGGTTGGAGTCAATCGCATTTCCTCCTTCTGAGGTTCACAAATGAATATTACTCTGTCTGGTGAGAGGGGGACATAATACTGCGTACCATGCTTGTTACATGGCTGCTAACGACTGTCCTTAGAATAAAGTATCAGCACTCATCTGCGATGGCGAAGAAATCGAGATCAGTACCGTACCATGAACTTCAAGAAAGGAAAGGCAGTGTAAGAAAGATTAAAATCCCAACGGTAACAAAGTTTCGAAAACATAACACCGATGTTCTGGGGTAGACTCCGTGAGTGGAGTTTCGATACCGCCATCGATACATCATTAAAATATATCGATACCGGGTTGACTGCAGGAGCTTTAATACCATGGAGCTGTGGCCTGATTAAACGGCCCCCTACGGGACTAGAAGCAAGGGTGCAGTATTGCGGCACTACCTAATGTAAGATTTTTACCTGTCTTCACCACCGTAGCGTAGTATCGAATTAGCAAACTCAGCGACGCGCAAAATTTCACGGCCTCATTGAAGACGTCATATCCAACTTAGCTCCAGAAGAAGAAGAAAGTACAATAAAAGTAAGTGACTTCGCTCCATAGGTGGCTTACCGTAATGTCATTAGTCTGCCAATCGGGCATCGTCGATTCCAGCATGTTAGCTCGACGGTTACCAGTACTGAAGTTCTTCGCCTGACAAAGGTAGAGGAACGGCATAAGGAATTTATAGTGCGGGTAGACTAAAACAAAACCCAAGCGATGACTCAGAAATGATATCGCATCATCAGCCAAACAACTTAGTACCTGCTTCGGAGGGGAACAGTTTTACAGCAGCCAACAAATAGCGATTGTCCGGAATCTGGAAGAAACGCATTCAAGGCAGAAATTGAACAGAAACAAATTTACCTTCGTAAACCAACATTGGATGCATTTAAGGTATCTAAAAATCCAACAGTCAAATGAAGACGAAACCACAGAAGTGATTTCTGAAACTTTTTTCATTGCCGTGCGCTGTTGTTCATCAAAGTAAAATGCCGTTGCAGTAGTTATAGACAGATGGCGAAGTCGTCATTAGAACTGCCGACTGGCCATCCTCAGGGAAAACAACACTGACACCTAATGAAGGAAAGTTAATGCAGTTTGGCTGAAAAGTCAGCAATTAAGATAAAAACTTCACCATCCGTTTATTCTTTTGACTAGAACCACTGAGGCGACATTTTACTGCCATTTAGATTTAACTTCTCAACTATGACAAGAACAATAAACATGTGCCAGACCACCTCCGGAGTGAAACTCCATCTCCACTACCCTGATGAACGAGCGTGAGTGGCAAATCGGCAAGTCAGCATTGGTCAATGGCCCCTACAGCACGATACTGTGTTTTGCATAAGAAAAACTTTGGCGCTCTCATTTCCAATACGATTACGGATGTACGAAATCCTTCAAGGTTATTCATGCTCTAAGGACTATATTGGGGAAATTCTGAACATCTCTAAGAAGTGACGTGTGTGGTGCTGGAAAGCGCTTTCAATTAGCTAATGTTGCTATTGCACATACGCGGAACTGCTCAGAAATATTTACGAAAATTGAAACGAACACTATTACAAATTATCAAAAATTTAAATTATTACAGATCCAAAATCAAATGCATAACCTATGGAACTTTTCCGGACCCAACAATTCTTTCACCTCGTCACGGCGTCGTACCACTAGCGCTTCACTCTCATCTCCATACGGTTCGTCGTCCAGTGCACGCTTCTGGCGCTTAGCCTTGCATGCTTCCTCGCTGATTTCCATAACAGGCTACCGATTTCGGCTGCAATCACACTAACAACGTTTGTAGCATTACAGCTATGTTAAACCTAACATGGGGCATCTGGTTATACTGTAAGTAATAGCGCTCACGTACGCTTACTTTCGAATTCTTTAGAACTGGTAATTCCAAACATCTCTGCGGCATCCAAGTCAGGTGTAATATGCTAGCCATTACTCTTTGCTTTAATGGATAATTAAC